TTTAGCTTTCCTTCGCTGTGGAATGCCAGTCACAACTCATTACCCATGGTCTGTGTATAGTAAGTGTCCATTGGGTATGAACATCAGAATCTTGTTTGTTTGTTCAAGATACTTCCTGCATATTCATAAGCGCATAATGTGTATCAGCTGTGTCTTCGCTGGCTTGAGCATGAAGTTTTCTGTCCCTTGCATTGCAGCATGTGGCCCCTTAACCTCATAAATAGGTCAGAAGTTCAAACAGGTGAAGGTGGTGTTCTCCACAGGTGTGTTTCAATGAGGTTCATTCAGACATTCGCTTCTCATCACTCACGTGAGCCTGTTATTCATTCAGTTCCTTCACTCTTTCAAAATGGAGGTGTTGACAGCCGTAGGGAGAGCAGAACCACCCTCCTCCACTCCTCCACTGCCCAAACTTTCAACAACACAACTGTCCTCTGTGAAAGACAAGACCTCCAGGTGTGCAGTAGATATGAGGTGTAATAGAGGCATGGGTGAAGATGAGGATTAGAGCCAAGGCTGAGGTAACTGTTGATGGCAACTTGCAGCCAATGTTTTGGTTCTGCTCTTGGAAGCTAAAATATGTTGTTATGACAGCGAGAAACTCAGACTGCATAACAGTTTTTATCTTGCAAAAACCTGGGTCAATCAATGTAATTAATAATAGAAAAATGTAAACAGTCCTTAATAGACACTCAGTAATTTTTTTTTTATGTTGTGCCGGCCACTATGGTAATCGTTTTGGATTGACACATGCAAAGATGATAGATTTAGTTGTGCCGATCATATACTTTGATTGAAGTCTTTTATTCATTTTATTAGGCCATGATAAGTGCTATTCATTTCTAACTTGTCTACAGACTGCTTCGAGCAAGCAGTTGTCTCTTTTATGCTATTTACAGTTTGTATAAAAGTATACAAAAGGTCAAATTAGATTCACAAAAGGACTGTTTTCACTCATGAAATGCTTTTTCCCACATGGAAACGGTGACTCAGGATGCATGAAAGAAAGCAGATTTTCATAATATAATAAAGAAAACACAAATGATATGTTTATGATCTTTTACAAAGGCTCCATGGATGGAGTTGTCATGTATTTTGATTGATTACAGACTCAATAAAAGCAATTGTGGTGATCAAGTGAAATGTTTTATGCTGTGTTCTTTGTCAACTAAAGAACTGACAAAATAAAACGGAAACAGCTGGCAGAGAAAAAAGCACAATAAAATGCAGGGAGTCCAAACAAACGGTAAGTCAAGCATTTTAGTTATGCAATACATTACAAAAACAAATATATAATACAAATAATTTGGTCATTCCTGAATGTATTAGAGGTAAACAGATTCATGAGATTTATGAGATGTTTGAATGCATTGTTAATATGATTTTACCTGGATGAAGATGCAAAGTACAGAGCACTGATATATGAAAGTAAAATGTTCAGTGTTGAAACTGAGGAAAATCTGTATTATCTGCAGCCAATTGACATAAAATTAGACAACTGCAATCTCTTCACTTAGATAATTATTGTGAATCTAAGATGTATTTCAATGCAAATTTCCATCAACATAAACCTTTTGGTGACCTCTTGAGAGAGAGACCAGTCTGTCTTAAAGCAGAAGCAGACAAATGTCCAGACAATGACGGCAGTATTTATGTGTTCTTTTGGTTGTGGCCTTTCCTGAGAACATCTATTGGAGTGGGCTGGTCGATGGACTTTCCTGTTTCTGTTCAAAATTTCTTGGTTGAACCTTGAAAGGAAATGAATGAGACTGGGGAACTCAGACTTCCTATCCTTCCTTAGGAACTGTGACCTGTGGAAGCACGTGACTAGGAGTTATTATAGTCATAATAAGTGATTGCCTTTATGGTGGAAGGTGAAAATTCTTACAAATATTGGTTGTAACATTGACTGAACTCTGACGAACACATTCTCTGAACTCATGGAAATGCACTTTTTAAGAAAATGTTTGAGGAGTTTGGTACATGATTGGCCAACATATTTTTTTTAGTTCAGGTCAACTAAACATCAACATTTATTTTCTTGTTGGAAATTTCCGTTTAATTAAAACAACAGTTTTGCAGTCTGAAATCCTGACCAAAAATCAGACCAAGCCTATACACTTCCCTATTTTTGTCACTGTATTAGTCATCTGAATTTGTGGGACAATGGATTTTATTGTGAAATCCAGATACTAAAATGGATTTAATTTAGTAATTAATTTCAGGAAACTCCTAAAGACTAAATGAAGTCATGATCAACTGGTTAAAAACAACGGCAACAATTACACATCACCCTCTATAATAACAATGCTTTAGTCTCTGTTCCTTATAAGTTTATCTCACTACAAAAAACACTCTACATTTAAAGGGGTCATATGATGCAGTTTCAAATTTTCCTTTCTCTTTGGAGTGTTACAAGCTGTTCGTGCATAGATAAGATCCCTAAAGTTGCAAAGACTAAAGTCTCAAACCCAAACAGATATTCTTTATAAAAGTTAAGACTGGTTCACACCCTTCTAAAACACCTCGTTTAAACATGCCCCCACATGTCTACGTCACTGTGTGGGAAGATGTGCATAACACTGCCCAAATGTTCACACAAAGAAAGAAGGCGTAACTTTTATTCACGCTGTAAGTTGTTGTTGCCGCCGCCGCCGCCATGTCGTGGAGACACTGTGTGTTTCGTTGTGAAAGCGAAACTACTTTGTTTGGCCTTCCAAAAGAGGACGATATCCGCTTCGTCATGCCTAGAGCTGATCCGTGCTGGTCTCTGAGGAAATAACGTTACATCAACTTCACGCTGTGGATCGCCGGATCGGCTTTCACCCTGGACGAAGTGGAGTCCAGCCCGGGGTCATCACATGTGGTAGCCACAAGCCCGTCAGACGCTCCTTCATCGAATCTGCCGGTTGCACCGTTCTCAAGCCCACCGGCCGTTCTTCACTCAAGCCCGCTGGCCTCCGCGCCATTCTCAAACCCGCCGTGTGTGACGCTGTGTGTTTCGTTGTGAAAGCGAAACTAATTTGTTTGGCCTTCCAAAAGAGGACAAAATCAGTGGTTAAGTTGTATTTACAACACTGTTCCAGAACAGTTCAACCCAAATATTCAGATGTGTGCAGCGCATTTTATGGAGGACTGTTTCCTGAACCTGCAGAGTAGTCTACAATGCCGTCTACACACAAAGGCTGTTTCTATAAAGTGGGGCAGTTCCAACTTTGCAAGGACAGTCTTGGCACTTCTGATTCACAGTCTGTAAGTACGTTTTTTATATTTAAAGAATTTGCCACTGACTATTCAAACGCAAGTTTTGAGCAGTGTAGAGTAGCACTTGTTGTTTGTCGTTTCTCCAATCACAAATGCAGATGTGGTTTTATGTTTACGCGGCGCGATATGCAACTCGTAAAAAAGACAGTATAAGTCATTATAATCCGTAATTATGTCCCCACTGGATGCAACAAATGCCTCGTTTGTAATGGGTTTTATTGGTGTTGTCTCATCGCGCCAGGACACTGAATCACAGTATGGTAAGGGGTATAACATTTCCGTCACACGGTTGAGGTATTCAGCCAATCACAACGCACTGGATAGCTAGATCATGTAAATATTTAATAGAAATAATATGGAAATCTAAATAGTTTACATGTCACATGATACCGTTCAGTTGATTACAATGCATTTTTAAAATTTTTTGCTGCTGTTTTGTTTAGAACCCATTATTTGCTTCTGGTCCAGCGAAGCAGTGCGTTATGTTTCACATTCATTCTCACGCAAGCAATAGCCTACTCTCAAATATTTTAAACATATGCTATAAATGGAGATGATCTGAGAACATTAACAAACGCACTTGCAAGACCATGAAATTACTACAATATACATTCCGTGTAAATTGAGCAGTTGCGCTGTATTGCTACGTGACCACTGCACATGCTTCAGAAAGTCCCACTAATATGAAAATAAACACATTATTCATGTGGACTTGTTTTGCCATCAAATGAGCAAGAGGGAGAATTGTAAAGAAAAACAAAACGTTCAGTTTGTACAGAGGTCCACTCTGTCATTCTGAGTTTACTTCACACGATCTGAGATGCAGATAAATAGAATTGCCATCTGAATGGTGCCAAGTGGCTCAAAAACAACAGCCCACAAGCCAACTGAAATTAACCACTGAAACAGCTCAATTGTCTCCCCCCGTCCCCCGTTTTACTTCAATAAACCATATGCAGTTTTTCATATCGAAAAACCCATGCGCAATTCTTCATAATTTGCAAGAAAAATAAAGAGAACCCCCAATATACATACTAAGATGTTTGAGATCTTCGGGAATTTTCTATGAATTTTAGAAGAGAAATGTTGAATTTATGACTAAAATAAAAGTCTAAACCGCTGTGACCTTTTCTGAACGTTTGCTAAATAAGGACTACACACTGACAGGACTACAACTGCTACCAGGATATGAACCGTCGTAGTAATTTACTGATAGCGCCTTTTAAAAAATCACAAACAAAACAAAGCGACCTTGAAATTCACATTTGAGGCATTCAGTGAAATTTATATTACAGGTAAAACGTAAAAGTGTCACTTAATATGCAACCACGCACACAAATTGACGTCCCGACTGAACGGCTATTGGTTGGCGGGGCAGAGCAGTGAGAGGTGAAAGGTTAACGCATGGGTTTGGATGATCAAGCGGGCTGCAGAGCAGTGAAGCACGCTAGCTTTTGTACGTATTCGCTTGGTTTGTAGGGAATTGATTTGCGGATATTTCATCTAACGCATATTTAAGGTAACGAAATTCGTTACTTAACGGACTTCAATCGTTTTAGACTGAAGCTGGTGTCAGTTCACCCTCAGATAAATTAGACGGCTAAGCTAACACAAAGTTTTCGCGGTTGTTCAGTTTGACATCTGATCACGCATCTTAAACAACACAAATCGGTTAATATAAACCAAAGTACATTACATCGTCGTGTTGCATCTCTTTTGAGTGTGTATTCAGTGTAATGGCCGAGAAACCAGAGGACCTCAATCTTCCCAATGCTGTCATCACGCGGATTATAAAAGAGGCAGTAAGTGGCATCACACAGCTAGTTATTAGAGAGCACGCGTTAAAGAGCTGGAAAGCAGCTTAAGAGAAAACCATAGAAATGAAAGTGTTAAGTAAATTGTCTCTTTCAGTCACTGCAGGCAGTTTTATTGTGTTTATTAGTATGCAGTCAACCTGTCCTCTTCATGTTTAGTTGCCAGATGGCGTTAACGTCTCCAAGGAGGCAAGACGAGCGATATCTCAAGCAGCCAGTGTTTTCGTTCTCTATGCAACATCTTGGTAAGTCAGACGTTTAGTTTCGTTATGAGAAGCTGTACTCTGGCAACCGACCCAAGTGTAACCTCCACTGTTTTGTTGACACCAGTGCAAACAATTTTGCTATGAAAGCAAAAAGGAAGACACTCAACGCTGGAGATGTGATGTCAGCTATGGAGGAGATGGAGTTTGAGCGTTTCTTGCAACCCTTGCGGGAAGCACTTGAAGGTAAATGCTATATGAAACCGAAGAGTTCAGGTCCAGAGATGTATGAATTAAAGCATCTGACATATTAATGTGTATAACTGGTTTATGTGCTGTTTTTTTCAGCTTACAAGAAAGGTCAGAAAGGCAAGAAGGAGGCATCTGAGCAAAAACGTAAGGACAAGGAGAAGAAGAACAGCCCGGGTGAGCACGACAAGAGTAGAGATGAAGAGGAAGACGAGCACATGGATGATGAGCAGGAGGGAGAGAATGAAGGAGAGGAAGAGGATGTGGAAAACTGAGAGCAAGCAGGACTTTTAGATTTGTTCAGTCCGTCCTGGTTTCCATCAACTATGGCAAATAATAGTTTCCACGTTAATGGTGGGACAAGAACAAGCCTATGGTACTGAATACAAATGTTTCACTTTATGAAATTGAGCAACTGTACAAAAATGATTGTGGCAACTTTCCTGCGGTGTGCTCCTTTGAATACAGTGAGGTATATTTCAAGAGAAAATGCACATTGTCTCCTCAAATTCACTTTAATCAGTTATACATAACACAGTAGTACCCACAGTTTTAAGCAAATAAATGTACTATTCATGAAATGTGAATGAGTCATGAAATGGGAAAAATGTGATGCGTGTTAATGATTTAGGATGAGGTGAGCAGCTTGAATTACTCAAACATTTTGTAAACATGGTTTCTGCAGTTGCGAAACATTTATTATGCCTGTTTTTTTCCCCGTTTTAAAAGTCAGGTTTGTTCTAGGGCAACAACACATATCGACGCTTACATACTTTTGTACTTTGTATAACTTGGGAATATTTGAGTACCTGTTAGCCTTTTTTTTTTTTTTCAAATAAATAATTGTAATTCTAAAAAGTTCTTTTTTTGGTCGTCAATTTATAAGATCATGTAAATATTTAATAGAAATAATATGGAAATCTAAATAGTTTACATGTCACATGATACCGTTCAGTTGATTACAATGCATTTTTAAAATTTTTTGCTGCTGTTTTGTTTAGAAACTCAAAATGAAGGAGACTGTTGCTTTGGAGGTGACACAGTGACTGCTTTAATTGTCAGGTTTTTAATCAAAGTGATTGACAATCAGCATTTTCCTGTTGAATTTCATCTACACTGAAGGCCTATAAGCAGAAAAATAAACTAATTTTACTAATTAAATAACAATTATTCCTAAAATAGAGATTATTTATTTATAAGAGAGTCTTAATTATACAAGAGAGAAGTATTATTAGTTGTATTAGTGACACCTGGTGTTAACATTGTTAAATGTGATGCCCTTCCTTAGATTGAATTAGATCCCTGTTATTAAGTCTGGTTTATCCTAATTCATCAAAACTCCAAACCAACTCTTAGTTCACAAGCTAGTAATATAAACTACAGCCATACCAAGTCATATTCAGACCTAAAGATGTCATTTAAAACGTGAGCATTTGAATGACATCATTGCCAGAGGGTGAAGAAAAAGAATGAAACGTTACCAATCTCTATAAAAAGACAACATGGTGTTAAATGTTAATTGCTTTATGAGCTAACATGAAGCTAACCTCAACACATTTGATGAGCATCAAAGAAAGAGGGGGAAAATGTCATGGAAAGTCTTTGCCATTTACCACAACTGAGGTTGACACAATTGTATGGCAAACATTAAAGTGTGATAAAGATGTAAAAAAAAGCCACGCCCCCCAGCAGTTCACTTTTATGGGTCTGTTCATTATGGAAAAATCTACAATGCAATACTTTATATATCCTTAACTACAATTTCAGGGGGACCACACATGGAGACGAGAAAAGTAGCCTATGCTTTATACACTAATTTATTTATTTATTTATAAATCCATTTTATTTAATAAAGTCTCACCATTAATCATTTGTAGCCAAACAGTTTTCCACTTTTAGGGAAATAAATATATAGATTAGATAGATACTTTAGGCAAATCAGGAAAATGTGATGCCCTGCATCTTCAATAAACAAGCTACAGGTAGTCCAAAATGCAGCGGCTAGAGTCCTTACCAGGTCAAGAAAATATGATCATATTACCCCAATTTTACAGTCTCTGCACTGGCTACCTGTTAAGTTCCGTATCAGTTACAAAATATTATTACTTGCCTATAAGGCCCTTAATGGGTTAGCTCCTGCGTACCTAACTAGTCGTCTACCACGCTACAATCCATCACGCTCCCTAAGGTTTTTTGGTCGTCAATTTATATGCTTAATGTGTTTTACTGCAAAAAAAAGCCTGGTATCTTCAGTTGAATACCCTTTGTGTAGTTCCAAAATGTGGTACTCCCTAAATACAGTAATATACACTCACTGGCCACTTTACTAGGTACACCTTGCTAATACCATGTTGGACCCCCCTTTGCCTTCAAAACTGCCTTAATTCTTTGTGGCATAGATTCAACAAGGTGTTGGAAACATTCCTCACAGATTTTGGTCCATATTGACATGATAGCATCACGTGGCTGCTGCAGATTTGTCGGCTGCACATCCATGATGCGAATCTCCCATTCTGCCACGTCCCAAAGGTGCTCTATTGGATTGAGATCTGGTGACTGTGGAGGCCATTTGAGTAAAGTGAACTCATTGTCATGTTCAAGAAACCAGTCTGAGATGATTTGAGCTTTGTGACATGGTGCATTATCCTGCTGGAAGTAGCCATTATCCTGCTGGAAGTAGCCATTATCCTGCTGGAAGTAGCCATTATCCTGCTGGAAGTAGTCATCAGAAGATGGGTACACTAGTCTTAAAGGGATGGACATGATCAGCAACAATACTCAAGCAGGCTGTGGCATTTAAATGATGCTCAATTGGTACTAAGGGGCCCAAAGTGTGCCAAGAAAATATCCCCCACACCATTACACCACCAGCCTGAACCGTTGAGACAAGGCAGAATGGATCCATGCCTTCATGTTCTTTCCACCAAATTCTGACCCTACCATCTGAATGTCGCAGCAGAAATCGAGACTCATCAGACCAGGCAACGTTTTTCCAGTCGTCTATTGTCCAATTTTGGTGAGCCTGTGCGAATTGTAGCCTCCGTTTCCTGTTCTTAGCTGACAGGAGCGGCACCCGGTGTGGTCTTCAGCTGCTGTAGCCCATCTGCTTCAGGGTTCGACGTGTTGTGCGCTCAGAGATGGTATTCTGCATACCTTGGTTGTAACAGTGGTTATTTGAGTTACTGTTGTATCATCTCCAACCAGTCTGCCCATTCTCCTGACATGTCCACACAACTGCCGCTCACTGGATATTTTCTCTTTTTCAGACCATTCTC